TCACGTGGAATTCTAGCTTAGGATCCCAATGTGCTGGAAAGAAAAGAGTGGAGAAATTGCCGCATTTGCTGTCTCACCAGAATGCCGCGGTCATGGTCGTGGAGACACCTTGCTTGGTAATTTCGTCTGCCTTAACCTGTTATTAGTCTGATTGATTCAATCCGACCAAATAGTTAAACATTCTACAATTGAGCTGTATGCATGTCGAGGTGTATCCTCTGTCTCAGACATGGAAACTTATCAGTGCAATAAACATTCAAATGCCATGTATGATGTAATCGAGCCCGATTAACTGCGACATTGATATTTTTGCTATGTGTGAAGATTATCTTGAGAAAAAAGCAGTAAACTTGGGCTTGGAGAAGCTTTTTCTACTTACAACACGTACTGCAGACTGGTTAGTCCTTCAACATACTCGTCCCTGCATTGTCATTTGAGTTGTTTATTCTGTATGTTCCGGGCTTCGACTTGACTAACTTGGGATTCTTTTTTGCAACAGGTTTGTACAACGGGGATTTGGTAAGTGTGAGATTGATGCACTTCCTGAGGAAAGACAGGCTCGAATCAACTTATCGCGGGGCTCCAAGTACTACATGAAACATCTGCAGCTAGACCTTTCTGATTCAGGTCCACGTGAAATATTAGTAAGCTCAGAAAGAAGTTGAGTGAGTGCTTCCACTTCATTGTTATTCAATTTCGTAAGAAATTTTGACAACCTTTCTGGACTTAAGTTTCTTGAATAGTAATAGATTGGTGACGAAATGGTATATTGAATATAAAATTTACATATATAAATAAAAACAAAAATAAAAAAAAACAAGTTTTTTTTAATATTATAGAAATAAAAAGATGCTTCTAAAAAAACCAAGTACAAAAATAATAACTAGGAAAAAAAAACAATACATTGTCATAATAAAACACAATGCATTTAAATTCTACAACATTATAAAAAATCTTGTACTATCTCTAATTCTTAAAATTATATTGTTTTTCTTATTTTGTACCTTTGTATTTACACCATTCTAAGTGATATGGGCAATAAATTTATAACTTAACTTATTGGTTTGTTAAGCTTTTATTTGTTTCATAAATTAAAAAGTTCTTTCAATTTTGAATTACAAACATGGTTTAAAAATTGTATTTTTTATATGCATAAGTCATAGATTGATATTTTCTAACTTTTGACATCATATTATCAGATGTATTTTATGAATCATTATATGTTAAAATTATCTATAAAATTGATAATCATACACATATTATATATTTTAAAAAAGATACAATAGATACATTAAAAATGTGATTAACCTCTAATTGTGAATACTAATACAAAAAAAAAACCTTAATTATAAAATTTTAGATTTGATTTTAAATAGTTATTAAGTATTTTTTTAGAATTTAATATTGGCATACTATCAAATTTACACCATTAATGATATGTAGAAAACCATATATTAGACAAAATATGGCTTATAATATCTAATTTTTATTTTATTTAAAATCCAATTATGAGAGATATTATTAATATTTTTAATCTTTATAAATTTCGATTTTATGCATTAGTGATAAATGGTAATATTTATAATCATTAAAACATCTCATCTATACCTTATGCAAAACTTCAAAAATTAAAATTAAGTAAAAATATAAATTTAAGATAATTAAAATAAAACACATAGAAAGTGTTATTAAAAGTATAAATAATAGAATAGATAGCAATAAAGAATGGAAGTTATCATGAAACAAAAAGCTAAAGCTATAGTCAATAATAAGATTAAATTGAAATCAAGCCTAAAATTGACACATTGCTTAAAATTACTTATAAGACAAAATCTCTTCTCAAATAATATCTTAAAAAATCATATCATAATTTCTTTTATCTTATATATATATATATACATACATACATACATACATACATACATACATACATATACATATATATATATATATATATATAAAATTTAAAATTTATTAATTTTATGCATATATCATTTTTTAAAAAAAAAACATAAATTCTTAAAAATCTAGTCTTATGTGGTTTTAATATTGTATCTTTTATCAATATTATAAAATTGCTTTATCTACTTTTTAAAATTTTAAATATCTAAAAATTAATAATTAATCTAAATGTTGTTTTCAACTATTATAGATATTTATATTACTTTTATATTCACTTTGATAATTAAAAATAAATATAATTAATTATAAGTAATTAAAAGTATATTTAAATAATAATATCTTATTTAAAAATGTCTTAGAAGCTTTGTAGATGTAGATTTGACTTTATAAGTGTTTGTAATTGATTGATAGTTTAAAAACTTGGCCAATAAGTTGGTCATATTATAGAATAAAAACATTGCCCTTACTAATGAGGTAGATAATTTTCCTTATATTGATAATTATCTTAGATTCATCAATCTCTTTATGTATTTATAATTATATCTCAAGTTATTGGTTTATTCTAATTATTTGACTATTAAATGATCTTATTAGCCTGTAAGTGTAAATTGTTAAGTTAATTCATAATTTGTATTTGTTGATATATTTCTATATTTTTATTTAATTTTCTTGATATTTTCTAATTTTATTTTATTATTTTTAGATAATTATATTAATACTTATTTAATTATTTTATTTAATTATTTAAAACTTATTTATATTTTATTCTATTTTTTTTTTATTTTTTATTTTTTTGCTTCTTTTTCATTTATGTATATACCACTCTAAAGAAATTTGATGGACATAGTATTATTCACATAAAATATAAAATTCAATCAATTCACAATTATCAACTTGTCAAATTCAACTCATAACATTTTTACAAAGAAAATATATTAGTTTAGCAAGTCAATCCTAGTTCTATTGGCTCAAAGCACAAAGCACAAAGCAATAATGGATGGAATCTAAGAACAACACAACCACCTCAATTCAAAAAAGAAGAGACAATGACAAACTAAATTAAAAAATAATACAACTATCTCATCTTGAAGAAGAAGAAGCAACAACAATGGAATCTAAGGATAATAAAAACACCTTGGCTCAAAAGATAAGAGTTAATGTGTAGAATAAGATCAATAGATTAATCAAAAATAAAAATCAATATAAAAATAGATCAAATTAGGATCTAATATATTAATTAATAAAATATTATCTATAATTTAATTAGCTAAAAAGACAAGAATTAGAATTGGTTTAAAAAGATATATTTAATTAAATCTAACAAAAAAAAAGTTATGTTTAGGTTTTAAGATCTTGAAAAATAGGTTAAATATGTGTCTTAGAAAAGAAGCTAGGACTATAAGAACTACTCAAGGTGTCCTAGAAAACTCTCTTATTTTTTGGAACTTTTAATGCTAAGATATTTTCTCTCTTAATTGCTAAAGATTGCTTAAGTTGTAGTTGAGTATTAAAAGTGATTTTTTTAGCATGTAGCTACCATATTTTTCTTATTTCATGAAACCAATTCAAGTTGAAATTTTTATTAGTTAGTATTAAAATTTTATAATTGATTTATTTTTTAAAATTTATTTTTTAGTATATTTAATTGAGTCTAAAAAAATACCATGACACTAAATCTTTTAGATTATCTTCAAATGCAAGTATGAATCATTTAAATGGCTCACTTATAATTTTAGAACAAAAAAAATACACTTCTAGTGCCCAAAAATATATTTTTAGGAAAGTGAATAAAAAATCTTAGATGAGTGGAAAAATTGGTATTAGTTTTAAGCATGCAATTTTTTGTAAGTATTATTGTTTAAATTTCTAAGATAATTATATTTTCTTTATTTGGTTCTATCTATCAATAAAATTACTATAGATTATTTTATATTTTATTTTCAATAGTAAGAAAATCAAGATACAATCAATTGAGAGAACTTTAATCCACTACTACTACAAAACTACCAACATTTTTTTTTTTGCGAACTAATCTACATGTATGATATATTATTTTTAGTATCTTAATAATAGACTATGGACATAAAATTTAGTCTACTTTACATGAATCAACATCAATAGATCTATTATTTGCAAAGAATTGGAATTGAAGAGCTATTGAAATATTGCTACTTTTATTCTTTTTTAATTTTAGTTTTATTTATATTTATTTTTCTTTTTTTAGATATTGATTTTAGAGCTCTTTATTTTCTTTGTTGCTTTGCAGCTACAATTGCTAATTCTTTTTTGGATATGATTCTTTTTTAAATTACTATTATTATTTTTTTATTTTTTTATTTTATTTTAATTGTAGCTCTCTAGTCAAAGCATCAAGCTCATTATTAAGTTGCTAATTATTAATGGTTGTTGAGGAATTCCCTTTAGGTTTTTTTTTATGCTTCTTTCTTAAAACTTGTTGTTATTTCCATGGTTAGTACTACTTGTTATTACTATAGATCTATCCATCATTTTCATCTTGGTGCTCTTGTCACTTTGTTTATATTGACATTCTAGTATTGTTGTAGATCTTGTATTAGTCAGCATGAGCTTAAAAGTTGAAGGCATAGCATTTGGATATTACTCTTTAATAGCCATAAATAGAAAACTTTCTCTTACTTGTCATAAACATAGCATTACATCCATAGTAAGTACCATCTATAATTTTAATATATAATGAGATTGTTCATGTACTTCTACAATGTGTAATATAATAATATGTTATTTTTTTGTTATTTTCTTATGATATTAAATCAGACTAGATTCAAGACCTCATTGAATATTCTTCTTGTTTATTATTCTTTTTCTTTTGTTTTAGGTAATACAATAGTCAACATCTTCTATTATGATATTTCAATGTGACCCCAAATTTTCTACTATAGAATCATTTCTATTACTTCCTTTAAAGTAGATTATATTGATAAACTTAAAAGAAGTAATAGCTAGTATTACTATAGGAACATTATACAATATAATTTTTAGAGATGTTATGCTATCATGACCTTCAAACTTTAAGTTATAGCATTGTCGTGTTGTAATTTAGTCATAGTGTAAAAATAATGGTTATTATATTGATGTTATTTAATAATGACCTTAAAAAATAATGAGTTATTTTCTATAGAATTTCATGGTTTATAGAAATCTTAAATAACTTGTATAAGTTTTATAAATAAAACTAGAAGTATTAGGATTATTTAATATGAAAGATGTAGAAAGATATGGGTATTGATATTATAGTATTGTGGCCTTAGGCCATCTGTGTGGTAGATAAGGCAAGGATAAGAGGATCTTCACTCTCATTGGCTATAGGTCATGACCAATGAGCTTCAAGGGGCTGTCCGAGAGAAAACCGAAGGGGAGGCCACTTCTTCCGGTACATTTGAGGATTTAGAGGAGAGATTCAGAAAGCTTGTGTTTTGGGCTATAATTTTGGTGTACAAAGTTTGTTATTTGAGTTTTGTATGAAGAAGTTAAGGTTGTTTGAAGTTAGGGTGTGAATTGTTTACCGACTATCACTCTTTTAAGCATACAGAAAGTTGTAGAAGGTTTTCTAGAAAATGAAAGATGTCGTTGGAAAGCTGGTTTGAAAGAATGCAATTTTCGTGCAAGAGTTGTTAACTTTGAGTAGAAGGTTTTCTAGAAAATGAAAGATGTCGTTGGAAAGCTGGTTTGAAGGAATACAATTTTCTTGCAAGGGTTGTTAACTTTGAGTCTGCAATGAGAGAATTATGGTTGTTTAAAGTCTAGATGTGAAATTTGTACCTACTGTCACTCTTTCAAGCATACAAAGAGTTGT